TGGGGCATATGCTCTCAGTGTACATAAAGAAAAATAAAATAGAATACATCAAGAATCATAAGATACAACATACGTTACTAGAAGCAATCAAATCATATTAGGAAAGAAATAAAACAATATAAATTGTAAACATTCAACAGCAACATGGTTATATTCATAAGTGGGAAGAGATAGGTACTAGGAAGGATGAGGAGAAGAATAGTAATACAGTCTTAGTCAATCATTTGACAATGTTGTGGGAACATTGTTCCCACACTTGTTACCAAACTTTTGTTCCCAAACTTGTTCAATAAACCACAGTAAAAAGATTATGAGAGTCCAGCCATATACATAATACGTAAAATGTATTTTTCAAAATCTTTGACTTTCACCCTGCTTCAAATTCAGCTTTCTTCACAGAAGGAAAAGTTTCTCTTGAAATTCTATCATGCCCAGCAAGGTTTCTTGACTCAAATAGAATAGATTTCTTAAAAATAAGCTGCTGGTCAGCTGTTAGAAGAGAAAAAAGACCTTATCTTAACAATCCTCTGAATTTGGCCATATCTTCTTTGTGAATTTATTAAATGAAATGCCAATTTATTACTTCATTATTGAAATGTTAAAGATTCTACATGGCACAGGGAGCTTGAGTTAACCATTACTAGAATTATTCAAATTATTACTGAATGAGTATTACTCATATTGAATTAGATTGTAAAGATATGATACCAGTATCATATCCAGTCTTTCCAGTCAAATATTTAGTCTATGAAGGTCAGGTCTATCTGGATGGACAATAATTCTCCAGGATCTCATCCACCTACCTTTCTAATATTTTGCAACCTAAAATCCTTTGTTTAAAATAGAGATATCCAACATTTGAACCCATGGACTTCCAAATCCAAAACATATGCTTTATTGAGAAATGGAGAAAAAAGTGCATAGCGAAAGTATCATTTGTTTACAGGACCCATGTCTTCCAAATTGACATCAGATGTACGTAAAGTGCAATTCATTTTTAGTTTGGTTTTATGAAGTGTATACTTACTTTAAGCACTCTGGTTAAAAAAACCGAGCAGCCCATCAGGATAAATATCATGAGCCCAGTGACCCGTTGCTCACGAATGCCAAGAAATTTGGGCTGCTCTCCTGGAGCTGAACATTCGGATTCCAACTTTAAGCTGTTCACGTGAGAGATGGACAGAACAGTGGCAGCCACAAACCAAGGCAGGCCCATGATTGAACACACACCAAGCATGAGGGCCACCATCAGCAGGTCCAAGTGATAGCCACAGCCTTTCTGTTAAAATAGAGATGACAACAGACAAAGCTAGAAGGATAGGAGGCAACATCTACTTAGAATATGAATCAACCGTTGCACTTAATAAATGTTTATATGCCAATAAATGAAAAGTACGTGAAATTGTATTAAAGTTTCTCCTGTTTTTTCCCCCTCTTATAGTGTATCAACTTTTCTCAATCTAATACCTTCTGCCCTAGATAGGATTCCGAGAGCTGTAGTCCAATACATCTAGAAGGCATCGGATGGGAAATATTCACATTCATACACAAGATCAGATGTATCTTTAGTTCCTTCTATACATTCTTTATCCAGGTGAGAAATCACAGCCCAATGCTTGCTAGATTGTACTATTTCAAGGGTGTTATTTTATTCCCATATCTCCTAATCTAATAATCTTAGATTAAAACCTTCAATACTCTAGACATTAGCCAAGTTAGGGTATGGACAGAAATTGTAACCCAAATGATCCAGGAAACAGTAACTTTGACGAGATTGTTTTACAGGATCACTGTTATTTATTTCTTCATATTCTGATCTATAACACAATTCAAAACGACATCAAAGTCCACTAATTATGTTGGAATCAGTTTCAAATTACATCTTCATACCTGATGTATAGAACTGTTGCATAAATCTTCCGCCAGACAATATTTATAGAACAGCATCAATGCTGGAGCAAGTTTGCCTATTCATGCTAACAAAAAAAAACCCTCTCAGTTTGTGACATGCATTAACCCCCTGTTGCATCAAGAAATATATTCCTCTCTCTACTGACAATCTGTAGTGAAAGATACAAATACCTATTTTTAAATGCTGTCAAGAAGATAATTTGCATTAAAAAATATGCGGAGAGCCTGGAATCATAAAGTAAAAGGTTAAAATAACTTCGGTGGAGTTACTTTCTTACCTTTAGCTTATGTTCCTTCCTGTTTATAATAACAGCTGTAATTTGTTGGTCCATAAATATCAGAATGGTACAAAGAAGAGCCGGAATTAGAGCAGCTAGGACTGTCCACCAAGGATTCGGACCCAAAGGTGAGACAATCCAGCCACGGTCATCCCTGGTAGGCTAAAAGAATTCAAGTACATTTCAGACGGTTGAAACTTATTAAATCAAAACATCATTTGCCCTTTTAAAAAGAGGGCAAAATATGCGACATGTTATAAATTCAAAATGTTTTACATTAGATTCAGACCATTATAATAGCTCTGGTGATAGTTTAGAACTAAAAAAAATAATCCTTGCAAATTTCATTTGTCCATAGTGCTTGTTTTTAAAATACAAAAGAGTAAGTGATAAGGAACATATTAAAAAATCTACACAGGATTCCACTGTTAATACTGCAAGATCTTTAGGGATTTAACATAGATATTGGAGCGGGACAAGGAAGTCCTTATTGAGCTTAGTTAAGCAAAGCAATCTGTACTTCATTTACCCTTTGAATTTATTCTTAAATTCCTCCATTAAAAATGTGTTATACAAAATTCATATCCCTGATATTTTAATCAAGTTCAGCATGAAATAGCTATAAGATGCATTGGTCATAGCCAATGCCATGTTTTTGTGAGGTCTAGCATAACTTGATGAGGAATTACCTTAAAAACATTTGGAACCTGAAGTTTTGGTGATGGGATCCCAAGGAAATAGTCAACTATCACCATAGATAGGATGGTGAGAAAGACGGCAAAGTCACTTATCACAGACCGTACCTGTAAATATTAAGCCAATCATCATTGAGAATGCAAAGAGTTTTCATAAATGAGCAGGAAGAAAAAGCAATTACCAGGTGGGTTGTTAATGATTTCAACAACCTTACAGAGTAAATGCTACCTGTCTGACCGAGGTTTCACAAAATCACAAAGCAGAGTCCTTGTCCCGACAAAACACCTTTTTATTAAGCTAACAGTATTTCAAAGGTGAATTTACAACCACAGACCTTATCAGGCTTGGAGAGCTGCCAAACGATATCTTCCAAACGCAATGCAGTACAAGAAAATACTTGGCAAGGAGTCTCTGAGAGTCATGAACAAATCTTCACATTTCAGCAAACTAATTGTCTCCTGCAAACTCCACTCCCCTTTTGCTCCTCTTTATTCCCTATGGGAGGGGTCATTCACCATCCACCTGTGCCTTTACTTCCGAGTCAGCCCTTGTTCCTTAACTGTTCCCTTCTCCTGGCAGTTCTGTGCATGCACACATCAGGAACAGGCTCCAGCTGTTCTTCTGCCCCACTGATCTCTGACTCCAAAGGCAGCTGATAACTGTCCGATGAACCAGCCCCATCTCTGGCTCCAATGCAGAGCACTCATCAGAGCCTTCTCCAGACTCCAGAACTGACCCATGTTCCTCCCCAACCCCCTCACTGTCTGAGTCTGCCACCAGCTTCGCTGGCGGGCCACAACACTACCTGTGAAGCAGTTTTGTTGTTTTTTAAAGTCTTCTTTGTGAACCTGAAAAATGTACAGCTGCTTTGACAATTATTCAACACAGACAAATGTCTCTCTCTCTCCCTCTCCCTCCCTCCCTCCCTCTTTCTCTCTCTCTCACACACACAAAGGTAGCACTAGACCATAGGATGCAGAAGCATTTGAGTTTTGGCTTCAGGTGCAAATATGCCTAAAGCTGCCCTGTTGTATTAAAAGATGTTATCCCTAAGGAGGACCTGACACTTAAGGCATACAGATAGCTCTTGACTTAGGATGGACTCACCAGGCGTCCTTGCAACCAGTTTTGAAGTTCTCTACAGTTATGTAACTGCATTTTGGGTACTTAACAACTGACTTGTATTTCAAGCCATTTGCAACATGTCATGTTCACACAACCACGTTTTACATTTTCACTGAAAACTGACATTTACTTCTAGTTTTCAGCAAAACCTAGTCGTAGTGAATAACAGATTTGCTTAATGACCACAGTATTGGATCAATAATGGTAAAGCTGGGTTATTGCATGATGGTGGGACATTGCAAAGTCAAAGATTATCTGTACATTTAAAATTTCTGATTTATTTATTTTGCTGAGAATTAATTCTTGCCCAGTTTGGAACAAGAAGAAAAGTTAAAACATACTTTCTCTCCTCTCCATTGCTATTCTTAGATATCAATGCCCCGAAGGTATTAAACTTCTTTAAAATGCTGTCCCGCATTGCAGAACCAAGATGATACAATTAAACAATTAAATTAGGGGTAACTGTGTCTTGCATCATGTGCTTGCAATATTTCTTTCATGATTTGATTTTTAAAAATTACCTTGGTTGGGAAGTATCGGCTAGTCTTGAACTGCTTCAGTGTGGACGACAGTATGACCGTAGAAAAGAATAAGATGACTGACCAGAAGAGGACATCTGGAACATAAGGCTCATGTTCGCCACAGGCTCGTCCAACAAATATCCCTTTCCAATTCTGGCATTCCTAGCAGAGAAAGTAAAGGCACTGTTTCTGTCTGCTAACTGATGGCATGCTATAAACCAGACGTGGGGAAATATGGCCCCTTTATAACTTGTGGACTTCAACTCCCAGAATTCCTGAGATCAGCATAGTTGGCTCAGGAATTCTGGGAGTTGGTCTGCAAGTCATAAAAGGGGCATAGTGTCAGAATATTCATGAACTGGAATAGAACATAGCAATAGATCAGCCATTGGAGACTGGCTGAAATAGAACATGGTAACAAGATCAGCCAATATATGGGCATGGCAACTGGTCAGCCAATGGGAATTATTTGATGACTGAGAGCCATGCCAGACAGCTCAGAGCCTGGGCATGGCTTACCTATGTAGCTCTACCTTTGTGTAACAGAACTAATCTAGTCTGTTCTCTGAATTGAAACTGGAAACCAATCTCTCCTTTGCCTGTGTTTTGCCTGTAACTGCTACCACATTGGAGAATCCACTATTGGTATTGTAATAACACTCATGTGTTATTATGTATATAAAGACGTTAATGAATCCTGCTGAATCAGCTATCTGTGTGTGCTTTCTGGATCGATTTCTGCAACAAACTCTGACACATAATTCCCCACCCCTGTTAAAGAAACCAAAGACAGGACTTTACACGATCAGTAATACTCTTTCTTACATTGAAGGCTATTGTAGACATTTTTTAAAACCCCATACATAATTTACATTGTATATTTCAATACCTTACATGTTTGAAAGAAATATGCATATTATGTACAGAAACTCTAATCTGGAAGTCTAGAATTGGCTCTGGATTTGTATTGATAGTGCAATTGGCAGCATACAAAATTCGGCTGCTAAAGAAGTTAGAAAAAGTATTACATCTTTTTATCCCTGCTGTCTGGAAACACCGGAGGAAGATTAAAATGTGCATAATCATCAGCGTACTGATGATGCTACCGAATTTGGTAAAGAAATGTCTTCAAGAAAAACAGTAACCTCCGAGAGCGGCAAGGACCCCACATATTAAATACCATCATTTCCCTTTGCTAATTCTGACTTGCAAGCACTGAAAGGGGTTTCTTTTCACCCTTCACAGTACTGAGCCCAGAATAAAAAGTGATTTTTAGGGGAGCATGCTAGATGCTACATGAGGTCACATGTCCCGTTCAGATTTGCTGATGCTTTCTTAGTAATTCTGAACCAGCAGCTTGGACTAGCTTGGATGCTTGCTTCCTGGAATCCTAAAGCTGAGTTTAACAGCCAGAAATTAGAGGCATAATTATATTTTTCCGTATTAGCTTTCCCTTTGTTTCTCTCTTCTTTGGCCCTTATATTCTGGCTCCAATTAAAACACACACAAAACTAGTCAAAACATTAAATCAGCTTTGGACAGTAATTTCAGAACAACTAATTGACTCAAAACCATAATGGATTAACTGTGGTTTAATGTAACTGGGAGACAGTGAGGAACAAAGGGAGGTCCAGAATTGGTTGATATCATGTTTCATACCAGCTAATGACTTTACTAGGAGGTTCTTAGGTCTATTCTAACCTGGCACTTCATCTCAGTTTGTTAGCAATCACTATTTTACATTGTTGGTAGCAACGTTTTTTGTTCATTTTGTTTTGTTTTAATTTAGCATGTTGCTAATGCAGGTCTTAGAAGAAATTAACTAAGTTTTAACAACCAATTTAAGGCAGGAAAAGCTGGATGAAGTACACAGTTAAAAAGCTCAAAACCATTCCCTCTGGATCAGTGTCAAGTAACTGGTTTGTAAAGCACAACTTCTTGGAAGTTGGTCTGATGGAAAACATCAGATTAACGTACAAATGTTTAAATGGTTTTTGCTAGTTTTACATTAGAGAGGACTTTCTTTTGCCACCAGGGGGAGATAGACTCCACACAACCATATTATAATAAAACTTGACATAGTCCAGACAAATATTTGAATGCTCATTCCGAAAGGCACACATTCCACATGCTATTCCCAAGCTTTTCGTGGTGCTTTTCTATGTGCAGAAACACTTTCGGCAAACATGTACAGAATCTTCCTTAAAATGTATTTCCATATCAAACCCTTCAGCACATAATATGCTCATTTGTTCACTGCAAATGTTTAAAAGACCATTTAAATGAGATCTGTCAGCAATCTGCACTATACAGTAGTCTATATGGCTGAACTGACAGATTATTGGGAATTTGCCTAGACGATGTTTTCCCCTCTTTAAATGGGAAGGGAGTGGAGGAGAGAACATTTTGAAAGTGGAATTTTTTGCAAATGGAAAGTCTAGATTATTTGATAAGAATATCTGTATATAGTACCCAGGAAACAATTAAAATGATACCACTTCTGATTGTTTAAATATATTAAAAGAAAACAGAGAAGAAGGAAATATATAATTCAAAATTTTCCTTCAGGTTCACAAACACTAACAAATGTGATGCTGTAGTATTTGCATAACCCAGCTGCTTAAACCAGCCTGCAGTTTTAAAAACTATAGCACTGAGAACACCAGATTGGAATTTTAATTTTTTTTAAAAAAAAAATGTCCCTTTGTTTCCATTTGTTTTAGCTTCTCCTACAAGCCTGGCATTTTTCAACCACAAAAGAGGCTAAATAATTGTATTCATATAAAAATATGGTTTATATTTGAAATTAATAACCCCATGGCTGCATGTATCTCCTTTAAATACTCTTTTGTGTCATCTAGGATGACTTAGTCCTTCCCAGCCCAAAAACTTCAGGGGTATGTGTGGAAAGCAACTCAGATCATCCATACAGGTTTAAGACAAGATCCTCCTATTGCTGCCCTTAACAATATCCTCAGTGTGGCTCTTTGCAACCAAAAGGGTATCCAATAACCACATAATATGCCACACACCGTTTCCTAAAGTGCCCTAAAGCACAAATATTCCTGCTGCAACCATGCAGCCTTTGCAATATTCTTGTGATGTCTTGTGTAGGACTCACGCTATTCTTAGCTAAAGAAGAATATGATATTCTTCCCATATGATACAAAAAATAAGATTGTATAACAATTCTGCACTAGTGGAATCTGAACAGTTGAAATTTCTTGGAAATATTTTTCAATATTTGGAAGTTCTGCACTGAGAACCCAGTGTTACCAGGATGATGATATAGATATAATAATAATAAATGAATAACAATAGCAGTACACATTTACATTAGGTTCATTATCAAGATTATTCTTCTTTAGCATGATCTGTACTCATATTATAGGCAGGTTTGTCACAAGACACATCATTTATTAACAACAAGCTTTGATTAAGTCAAGCTAGGATTAAATCAGAGAGTTATGCACATCGGAAGGCAATCAGACCAGTCTTGTCCTCCAAGACATGTATTTTTAGGAAGCCAAGTCATTCAGATGTTACAAAGATCCTTAACTCAATTTTAGTAGAAGCTAATGATGATCACAGTTCATCTTCAGTGATGTATTGGAAAGAAAATTCTGTACATAGCCTGTTTTTGTCCCTCTGAAGTTATATCACTTATGCTGGGGCTCCTTTCTTTCTTTCTTTCTTTCTTTCTTTCTTTCTTTCTTTCTTTCTTTCTTTCTTTCTTTCCTTTTTTTTTTTTTTTTGCTTTTCTAAAGATAGTTGCATACATTTTACAACTCCATACTCTCAGGCCACTCAGATTAATGTTATCCTTACTATGTACTGTTTAGGCAGAATGACAAGCAGTGTTTTGTCTGACTTCTCTTTGTTTATTTATTTCAAAAATAAAACATAATAAGCATTTCAAAAGCTATATCCAAAAACAAAAATTAACCACAAATGAAAAGCCAAGATGAAACTCAGAATAAGTGCCCACAGTCAGTTACCTGGTACCAGAGGTGGTATTCAGCAGATTCTGACCAGTTCTGGAGAATTGGTAGTGGAAATTTTGAGTAGTTGGGAGAACTGGCAAATACCACCTTTGACTGGCCCCGCAGTAGCCTTCCCCTGGAGTGGGGAGGGAATGGAGATTTTACAGTATCCTTCCCCTGCCACACCCACCAAGCCACGCCTACCAAGCCATGCCCACAGAACCGGTAGTAAAAAAAAATTGAATCCCATCACCGCAGGTACCCAAAGTATGGTGGGATGGAAGAGCTTGAACTGTTTATAGAGAATTGCAATAAGGTGGTGCCTCCACAGCTGCCTTGGAGGAGATTAATCCAAAAGGTAGGGGCTACTATGCAGAAAGCAGGGTCAGTTTATCTCCTGCTTTCATCCCTTCCTGCTTGCTTTTGTTTTTATTCTTGTGCTATCAATCTTAGTAGGTTTCCTGGTTATCGACCATAATAAAAAACATCATATTGATTCACATTCAACATGCTGGTAAAAAAGAGTTTGTATTTATGACTTTCCTGCTACCTTATGGCCTACTGAAAATGCTGTACGGATGGCAAGGGGTTTTTCTAAATGGAATGAAATGTGACCCCAAGGGCAGATATCAAAAGAACCTCCTTCCCCTCCAGCTCAAACATTTGATGCAAGTAAGTTCCCTTGTGAGATCAGAATCTGCTTTTTTTTCCAGGGAGTCCAATGAAATACACAAAGCCACATTTCTTAGAGTAGATCCCTAATTATCTTGCATATTTGGTGCAAAGTGGTGGGGGATTCTCCTTCTTCCCTTCATAGTGAACACTTTTAACAGAATAGTCAAGGCACATCTTATTTTCCAGGATTAATTTGTTAATTAGTTTTAGCATGAATCGTAATTCCTGTTTTGAGAGTTTTTATGCCCTTTATGTTTTATTTTTTTGCTAATTTTGGACCATAAGGAAGGATGAGCGCCAAAGAATTGAGGCCTTTGAACTCTGGTGCTGGAGAAGAGTCCTGTGAGTCCCTTGGACTGCAAGGCGATCAAAC